TTCTCTTTTACTGTAACGCATGATTCGTTTTTGCTATTTCACCATCCTTCCACACTTTTATAATGTTCATATGGAGCTTTTTCAATTTCGTCTATAATTTATGGTAGAGTCCAGTTTTATTAATGAGAAAACTAATCACCGCCACATTTACTTTCACGGCATCATCACGTAACTGCCCACACACATTAATCGTATTAGCGGATGCCCACACACATTGTATGTTTGGAGCTCTCAACTCGAGTTCGAATGCTGTCTTTAGCGCCACTAATTCCAGTCATTGCGTACCTCTCGACTCACTAGACAAAGTACATTGTCATCTCGTAACTAATAATAATCCAAACTACATATTAATGAAATCTTCTTCGTCAATCAAAAAATGGTGAAAAGACATTTTTGTCTTCTATCATAACAAAAAAATTAAGGACATAAACGTAATTTCACAAAACAAAATCTTGCTATTTTTTTTGTTCAAGCCTAATTTTCTCATCTCTAATTTAAAAAATTGAGAGGAAAAAAAAACAAATAAACCTCTCTCCCCATTATCTCTCTCTCTCTCTCCTTCAATCTTAAAAACAAAAGTAAAAAATTTCATGCACATTTTGTGCGTGGTCATATGCTAGTAATCTAAATTACATACTAATGAATCCCTCTTTGTAAACCAAAAGAGAATGAAAAGACATTTTGTCTTTTATTACAACAAAAAAATTAAAAACAGTAACGTAATTTCACACTCTCCACTTTTCCTCTCTCTAATTTTATTATAAAAATAAATAAATAACCCTCTTTTCCTCTCTCCCTCTCCCCACTCCCGTATTATATCTCTCACTCTCTTGATCTCTTCTTTTATTTTAAGAATAAAAATAAAAAATTTCACACAATGTGGACATATACTAGTAATAATAATAATCACACTCTCACGTCACCGACGTTTGTGCTGACTAACCGGCTCTAAACCCACTCAGATGAAAACCACCCCATACGTGCATTCCACACGAAACTATCTCCACCCAAAACGTTAAAACACTAATTAATTAATTAAACATACTTAACATGATCCCAGCAGCTCCTAAGTTGAATTAGCCACACACGACAGAGAGAGAGAGAGAGAGAGTGAGTATACAAAAACAGATCCGATTTCATTTCACAGACCACACAGAGAGAAGCTTCCACTTCCTTCTCCTCGAGGTCTCTCAGATTCGACATTTTGTAGAATTGGGAATTTAAGGATTTGAATTTATAATGTGGTGCTCTCCAGCTCCTGCTCTCCTTGCGTTTCTGCTCTGCTTTTTGAGCGCGGAGGCATCGGTCCACAAGTACGCCTGCTGAGAGATTCGCCACCAAAGGCAGCGCCTTCGTCGTCCACGGCGGCAGCGAGGGAATTTACTCTTCTGCCCCTGCTCAGTCCGCCTCCGACTCAGTCAACGGCGACTCTTTCATACGGTAAAGTAAATCATAGAATTCCATTTCCCCATTTCACTCTCTTTGCTTCTCCAGTTTTAACTTGCAGTTGGCTAAGATCTGATGCACAAATTGAGTTCATTTGAGTATTTGATTTATTGGGTTCGTAAATTGCTTGTTTAGTACAAAGTCAGCAGCTTTTTTACTGGGACCATTCCATGTGATTAACCCAGTTCGTGTGTTATTGTTGCACCCTGTTTATACAAAACCATTATCTGATTTGCTATTGTAATTTGAAACCAGCTTCGAAAAGGTTACGTTTCGGAGGAGCAGAGAATCTGCAAACCTGAGCTCATGGCCAGTCCATGCCATTGTTTTTGAGGTGGAAGATAGAGAGACCATTGGGGGTTCAGCTTATGGTGGTCAAAGAGCGGTATGTTGCTCAGGGGATCTGGCGAAATTGGGGGTGTGTGCACAAGGAGAGATCATTCACCGCCAGTCGACTGAGAATCCAGGTTGGCCCCAGGTTTTTGGTGTCTCATTTGAAGAGTATGAGGAAGTTGCTACATTGCCGTCCAAATCCATACCGATTACGAAAACCGGGATGTACAATTTGTATTTTATTCATTGTGATCTGAGTATTAAGGATGTGGTTGTGGAGGGGAAAACTATATGGAAAAATCCTACTGGGTATTTACCTGGTAGAATGGCTCCTTTTATGAGTTTCTATGGGTTTATGTCCTTTGCCTTTGTCATACTCGGGATCGGTTGGTTCTCACAGTATGCAAGATTCTGGAGAGAAGTTTTCCCGTTGCAGAACTGCATCACTCTGGTAATAACACTCGGTATGTTTGAGATGGCTTTGTGGTATTTTGAGTATGCTGAATTCAACGAGACAGGCATCAGGCCAACTGGGATAACTGTATGGGCTGTTACCTTTGGGACAGTCAAGCGCACGGTAGCACGTGTGATACTTTTAATGGTCTCTATGGGCTATGGTGTTGTGAGGCCTTCCCTTGGTGGGCTTACATCAAAGGTGATTTTGCTCGGACTGACCTTCTTCCTAGCATCTGAGGTTCTTGAGATGGTAGAAAATGTCGGTGCAGTAAGTGATCTTTCTGGGAAGGCAAGATTGTTCTTGGTTCTTCCTGTGGCAGTATTGGATGCGTTCTTCATTCTTTGGATATTTACTTCCCTCTCTGCAACTTTGAAAAAGCTTCAGGTACCTTAATTTTCATTCCAATGATATCAGTGAATTATTAGTTTTTCAAATATTAATCTGTTCAACTTATGTTTTCCGTTTCACCAAAATGAAAGAATAAAGGTGCTTGAAGTTGAATCTATGGGCAATATGAGAACCAACCTTTACTATTCATCTATAGATGTGGTATATGCCGGCTACATCATACATGTACTTGATTGTAATTTACCCAATCATCGCCATCAGGTCTTAATAGTTGATCCTGTAACTTTCATGTTTGTGCTTATGCAAGGGATTAAGCGTGCTGCGTATTGTGAATCGAAGAGCTTTAACATACAGCTACCTTGTTGATTACTTTTTCTTGCTTTTGTTTTGTGACAGGCTAGGCGAATGATGGTTAAACTAGACATTTACAGGAAGTTTACCAATGCGTTGGCAGTAACTGTCATTGTGTCCGTGGGTTGGATATGCTATGAGGTAATCTTTTAACCTACATCCATGCCCTTTCATAGGAAGAGAGAAAAGTATAAAGTTTTTGTGATTTGGTGGTGGACTTAACATGGTCAGGATAATTTTTACTTGCGCAAAATGATTTGCGTCTGTTGAATCCATTCACACGCAACTTTCTTTGTTTTAAATTTGTTTAATTCAGTTATTACACGTTTGATATTTTTCAACGTTGTACCTGCAGCTGTATTTCAAATCAAATGATGTTTACAATGAGCAGTGGCAGAACGCATGGATCGTCCCTGCCTTCTGGCAAGTTTTATCTTTCTCTCTCCTATGTGTCATCTGCATTCTTTGGACGCCATCGCAGACCTCAACAAGGTAAAATACATGGCTTCCATGATTCTTCTTCGTTCATCCTAACGTTCAAAACTTTGTTCGTGTTTAACATGCCACATGGGACGTTTCCCATAATTTACGTGAAATCTCTCGAATCCTTCTGTTGGTACATGAATTATCTCTTTTATTAACTGCCATCCCAATCACATGTCGGTGGTGTTTCAACACTATTGAACGCGTCCTTGGTCCTTGTTTTATCTAATGACCGTATCCCCACACTATTTTCCTTTTTTGACAAGATATGCGTACTCTGGAGATAGCGAAGAGTTTGACAAGGACGACACGAGTTTGACACTCATAAAACCGGCCCTAACGCCTGCTAAGGATGCTGGTAATGCGCTGGAGACTAGACCGGTGAAGAGCAGCAATGGGGCCTCAAATGGCGACGATGGAGAAGACAAGATAGAGTAAAAACAGAACCCAGCTGGAATATTTGTTGACATTGCAACAATTTCCAGCTGCTCGGGAACACATGTTACACGGAGGAGCACGGATCATGGCATAGAAATTTGTATGTTGAGACTATAAAATTAGTTCGCGTAATTTAATGTTTGCTTTTTAGTCCTTAATGTATTTGTTTAATTGGTTCCTGAATTTTCTCACGAGTAGAAGAAAGGTGGGTAAAGGAGATTTGTTGTGTTTCTTTGTGATAATATCATTGGCGGTTTGCAAGTGGTCGATTGTTCTAGTGATTGTAGCCTTCGACTCTCTGTGTTCTGCGTTCAAACTCAGTTTCCTTTCCCAATGTAACTTTAAATAATAGTATCGCTTGTATTCGAAAGTAGAAATTTCATTGGCGGTTCACATATTTGTTCAGTGCTTTCCCTCAGTTTGAGTTCAGGGCTAAATTGGCGTTGTGCTTGCAAGGATTTTTCAATGTGACCGGTACATATGATGGTACATCACGTGTCACTATACAAATGGTAAGATATGTGTGTTAATAACTTAAAAAATAAAATTTCCCACCACTTCTATTAATACACGTGGTGTACCATTTGTGTTTCCGTCGTAACTAAAAATTTCTCATGCTTGCGAGGTAGTACGCAAATTTAGTCGAAGATATTTTACTTTCGAGCAACGAAAGAAGCAAAATCACCGGTTAATCTTGTGCACATGGTTTTCAGGTGTTTGCGTAACTGGCAGCTGTTTCAACAACGGGACGAGCAACATCGCTGTACTAAGAGCTAGTTGCTATACTAAACCAATATCGTTACACCTTCCGTTATAAAATCACCCTATCCAAACTTCGCTACGTTCATGGAGCGAAATTCAATCCGTAATTATCAGTTTAGTAAGATACAGAAAGCTATCAAGTGAAGTTATCAGCATATTACATAAGAAACAAAACCAATACAACAAAAGTTGAGTCGTTTAACGTACCGAAAACCGAAAGAGAGATGGCATAGGCACCTTAACCTGAAAACCGAAAGGGATAGAGGGACCAAGTAACTGTATGTAAATACGCATTTTTACCGACGTGCCAATAACCTTCAAATGATTTTTCGGTTGAAATTTATGCGTATGCAGAGTGATGGCGAATGTTTATACAAACAACTTTCGGTTAACATAAAACTAACTCATTCATTTCTAGAAAAGTTATAAATCTGAAGTGTGTTTCGGAAATCTGCCTCATCAAAAGCTAAAATATATGACATGGTATACAAGTAACCTGGAGCTACTACTATAAGAAGCGGCTTCTTGATATTAAAACAAAAAATGGAACAACACACATGCACAACAATTCGAATATGAACAAATGAAACAAAATCTAGATCGTGGTAGTAATAATAAACAACATGCTTACAGGGCAGAAGCATTCGGGCGTGTAGACTTGGCTGCTCTGTAGAGCTACAATAGATCTCAATCTGACCTCCCCCAATCAACAGAATATTGAACTATGTAGGATTTTTAATGAAATGGAAGGCTCAATGAATCCCAGACTGACCAGCACCATCATCACCCAAACACTCCCCAAAAAATTCAAAGAATGTGTCCTAGTTTCTAAACTTGCAAAACTTAACTTCAATTTGATCACATTCACTGAGATCTCCTCCTCAAGTGCTGGGATACCGAGTACCCCTCAAAGAAATCCAATACAGCGGTCTCCAAATCCTCGGTCGAATACTTGATGTAGTTTTCCGGATGCTTCCCACTTTCTATATGGCTCCTGAACCGCCCAAGGAACGACCTGTATGCTGGGATCAACTTCTCTGATATAGATATCCGTAGCTCCTCCCTAAGCTGAGTATCCGGTATCAACCAAGTAGCTTGGGTCCTATGAACCTCCTCAAACATAGCATTGAAGGACTTGAACCTCTCTCTCAAAGCACTCTTTGACACCCCGGAAGAAAAACTCCCGCTAACATGTAACCCTTCGTCTCTCAAACAATACAACACACCTACCCAAGTAGCTCTCTGGTAACTAGTAGCTGCCTGGCGGAACTTCCCGGTCAACTTCCTCAAGTAATCGTCTCCAATCATTTCCCGCAATTCCGGAGACCCTTTCACCTTTTGAACAATGTAATGAACATTGTTCATCATGAACAAGTGAGCTATTGAAGCATCCTTATAGTGCTTAGACTTGCCATCCAAATTAAATTGCAAAATCACAATAATCCAAATCAAATGCAGAGCCAGAGGGGTCTTCTCCTCCAACTCGGCGAACTCCATATCCGGAGTCGTGGGATCGCCGAGTACCGCGACCCCGTGGAGGGCTTCGACACAATAAGCTCATGCAAAGTCTGCTTATAATCCGATATCAAACTGATGTAATTCATCACATACCGAGTCAATGGATGAATCGTTCCGCCGGGGACGGGAACCCTAGACGGTTCGCGAAGCACGGCGTTCTCAAACTCAGATAGAATTCCCCTCGCTGCCTCCGCCAGCCTCGACAAGATCTCCACCGCCTGAATCCGAATCGACTCCGACGATTTCGATTCGAAAACCGATTCGATATCTGGCATCAAGTCCATCAGAGCATCGTGCAAGTCGAGAATCTTGAAGAGCTTCTCGGGCGACCTCCGGCTAATGCTGATGGCCTCGGCGAAGTTGAAGAGCTGAATCGCGGGGCCCTTGACTGTCTCCATAAAGCAAGCGTCGTCAATGGCGGTGCCGATGCCATTGAAGATTTGCTCGCAGAGCTTCTTCTCGGAGGCGAAGACGGTCCTCACGCAGGCCTTGGCGGCGCGTATCCACCGTCGGATCTTGGTTTCCAGCTGCTCCCACTGCAGCCTCTGAACGTCTCCGATGCTCAGCTTCTCAATCCCCAGCTTCCGGAAACTCGAGTCCACCGCCCCCTTCCTGACGCCGCCGTAGACCTGAATACACTCGCGGAGGTAGCCGGCGGCAATCATCCGCTCAGCGATGTTGCGGAGATCGAATACCGCATCGGAGGGGATGAGATCGAGCTCGCGGATGCTGCTGGCGGACCGGTAGCTGCTAGTGTTCGACGAATCGCCGCGCTGGAGAAGCTCGTCAACGTCACCGGCATAGATGGAGGAGGCCTTAGGTGTGGTCAAACCGCCGTCGTCTTCAGCCGAGTAATCCTCGAACTCGGAGTTCGAATCAGCGACGCAGGAGTGAGTTGACGAGCTCGGATCGGCGGAGGAAAGCGAGTCAGGCTCGATGGGAGTGGTGTGGTTGAGGAGGATGTTGCGGAACTCGTCCTCCAACCGAGCCATGGCGATCTGGATGGCAGAGTTGAGCTTGGACTGTTCGCCCTCTGAAGCAAGCGTGGCTGAGGACAGAGAGCGTTGGATTTCATCGACGGCCTGTAAGTAGCGATCGATTTCGTCGCGCTGGCCGTCGAATATCATTCGCTCTCGGGCCTCCTCGGAAGCCGTGGAGTCCCAGACGAGAATAATATTCTCCGCCGCGTCTAGCTCTTGAAGCGAAGGCGGCGGCGGTGGAGATTCCATGAAATGAAACGCAGACTTTCGAGCTTACGGCGGCGGCGGTGATGGTGTGGTGGGGTGGGGTGTTGTGGTGGTGATGAGTGGGGAATTGAAATTTTGGGGGTACGAATGGGGAAGTTGAGGGAAATAGGATGGTCCTTCAAAAAAGGCAGCTGTGGGATTTTGTTAAATTTCTGGTTTGAAGATATTTGACAGTTTGGACTTTTCCTTACTTCGAGTAGCATAACTGTCCGAAACACTAGGGAAATTCTTTTGGCGCCGGTGTTTTACTCATAACACCTACTCTAATGGTAGACTAAAAGCTAAATTATCCTCTAAAATTTTCCTCCGAACCCACTCCAACCCAAGGAAAAAATTTGGGCTAAATGCTAAATGCTAAACCAAGGCCAAATTCCTCTCAAAATTTAGCCCAAAAATTAGAGTGGACTCCACCCAATATTTATCGGAATTTAAATTTTTTTAGATTAAAATGTTCATAAAATTAATTTACGATAGTCTACATATTTATTTATTTTTTAAATTTAATTTAACAAAAAAAAATAGCCTAAGTTTATTCTTTAATAATCCCGGCTAAAATTTTAAGCTAGAACGGTTGGAGCAGAAAAGCTGTTTCTGGGCTAAAAGCTAAATTTTCCGGACTAAAATATTTAGCTTTTAGCCCAACCATTAGAGATGGTCTAAAGGTGAATTTATGCTGTGAGTCGAGAGAGACTAGCACATGTCATTGTATTATTGGTTCAGGACGTTTGAATAGTATTTGTTAAGGCTTCAAAAAGATGTGTATGTCAATTTTTATTTATTTATATATGTTTAGTGTGATGATCACAAGTTTTAGTTACGGTTGGTTGCACGTAAATAGACTGCGCTCATTACTAGTAGTAGATATGCACAAGCTAAGTGAACCCCTCTATATGAATCTACAGTCAGAAATCGATCATTCTACGACCTGGTTTGGTACTGAGGTGATTCTGAAAAAAGCTGCTATCAAAAAAAGCTGGGAGCTATTTTTGTGTTTGGTAAACACTCAGCTTCAGCTTTTTTTTCACAGTTTTGGATGAAAAAAAGCCAAAAACAAGAAGCTGCAAAACCCAGCTTTGAAAAATCGATTTTTTTTCACATCTGTTTTACATAAAAGTTTACCAAACACTCTAATACTGTTTTTTTTTTTTTTTCAAAAGCACTTTTACAAAAAAGTTTACCAAACACTCTGCTGCTTTATTTCACAGCTGCTTATTCTCACAGCACAGCAGAAGCAGCTTTTTTTTCAAAGCACAGCAATACCAAACCAGCGCGTATGTGACTAATCATAGTATTTTCCTTTCTAGTACAGTTATAACTCAGGATCGGCGTGAATCCTAACTATATCATGGAGATGTACAAAACATGATTAATCTTTTTTGTTCTATTGTCAAATTATTAAATTGTTGAACGAGTACTACATTCTACTAATGTTCATCTTCAATTGTAAGTGAAAACATTTAAGTTTGAAAATGGTAAATAACAAGTTTGATGTCATATTTTCCATTATGTAATCCTCCTCCCAAATATTATTGCAAAACATCATTATGTTATAAAAGAAAATTGGAAATTTGAGAAATGTTTGTGTTAGAGCGGTTCCAGCAGTTAGTCTACGGCAAACGCATAGGCGAACACGAGAAGGTTACCGCTAAGACGTTACCCAAGAGAACAAGATATAAAGAGTGAAGAAGAATGAAAGGAAAACGGATGACAATATATAGACTTTGATTGGGGTTGAATTTTGACCATTCCATTCAAACTCTAAGCAATCAAACACGAATATTACTCTTCGTCTTCAACGTACATATACTGACGGCATTCGAGAGTTTTTGAATAAATTGTCCTAATAATTCACGACACACAAACGAACTTGGTACTTTAAAGGAAATTTGGAAAGTGACATTTTTGTTGAATCAAAGTGAGGTTCTAGCCTTTTATTTACTCATTTAGAAATCATCATATCTTGTAAGTGTCTTTTTTTTTTCAATTCACTACGTCTTGGATTCAATGTCTCTCCTCTCTCCCTTCGTGTTTTTGGACTAAGTAGTAATACAAAAAAATAAAATAAAGAAATCAACACAACTTGACTTAGATAAGTTGGTCAAAGCAGTGTGACTCTTTGCACCCAAAGTTCGAATCACTCTTGTATTAATAGAAGAATTAATGTAGAATATTGTTTGCATAAAAAAGTTATTGAAAAAGAATCGGAAGACAGTCAAACTATACAATAGAGAAACATTTGAAAAACATGAAGAATGAAAGAACCAAGAAGCAAAGCGTCAATCTAGACTAATTCTTTCTCGGCTGCATGTTAATTACCAATTAATATGATAATTTTTTTTTAATACATACAATATTATCTACATGGGTGAGGGAGTGATTTAAGTCTCACATTGGGCTGACCATAGTAATTTGATTTTAATTCAAATTTCAGACCTCTCACTTATAAATAAAGAAAAATATCATTAGACCGTAACATTAAATAACTAACGTGGCAATTTCTTATTTGTTATAAATAAACAAGGTTCAGAGTTGGCCTAGAAATAGAAGTACTAGAACATCAAATACCTACGGAACTAGACAAAATTGTCATTAAAATGTTTAAATAATTAAATTTGTGTATATAATGCATCCGCAATCAAGGCCCAAAGTAAGAGCACCACTCTTCATCAATTTGGGCTTGGGCCTCCCGAAGATACCATCCCATGTATTTTTCGAAAAAGGCTTTCTAATCGCGCCAGCTCTGCAAAATATATCATACATGCCAGCGAAGCACTGGCTGGCCTAAGTTTTCTGCTGTCTATGATTAACTAATTAATACACTAATTGATTAACTAAATAATAATAATAATAATAGTAATAAAGAACTTAATGATGAAATTAATGAAGTCAACTAATCTACTGACGACATTCACGTGCATGCATGCTTTGCACGTGCACATGCAACATTTTGCACCTCTTTAAGAATATCAATCGTATAATTGCATTATTAGTAATTTTATTTTTTATACAACGATATTCTTACTCTAAATGAAGGAGATTGAACATAGTGAGCCAGCTATTGACAAGTTATCATCGTATCGAACTCAAAAAATACAAATAGAAAACGTCGTTATTCATGTGAATAAACATGCAGTATGAATAGTACAATACTATTAGATTATATAATTAGTTGATAATCTTAAATTAATAAAAATTAATGAATTGGTTTTGAAGGGAGCGTAACACAATATTTAAGCTTTAACAAGATCATGGAGCATATTTTTGTGGAGTTTTGTCTTTTCAATAAATAAAATATTAATTATTTTAGTATTTTTGGAGTAGTATATGTGTGCGGTTGGCTACTTAGAGGTCACCAGTACAGCACACTATTTGCTAGGAACAATCAAGAAGGGAGAAAAAAAAAAAAATTTCAATTTTCAGAGTTGCACGAGTCATGCAGGCGGTATTCAAGGAGATCAAGCAAATGATTTCCTTGCTGTCTATCTAGAGGAAGGCCGGTTGAGTTTTAGTGGCGTTTCCCGTTTAAAAAGTGCATTATTCGTCATTTAGTACTACAATATAGTAGTATTCTTCTCGATTGATAAATAAGATGTCTTAGGTTCTATTATTGTTAGAGACAAATTTGAATCACTTAGAACTGTTGTGAGGCTTAACCCACTCCTCCACTTCCCTTAATGTAGATAATATCAATTGTTCACAAAAAAAAAGTGCATTTTTCGTTTAATACATAATTTTCACATAGTGTCCTTAATTACAAGTGAGTTTATCTCCTAATAATGATCTCTAGTTTTGCTCTAGCAGTATTTTTTTTTTTTTTTTGGTTCCTTTTTTTTTTAATTTTTTGTGAGAAAGTAATTCATTCGATGAGAGAAACTCCTTGTACAGCTGGTTCCAATACAATCAAACATAAAAGCATTATACGCCTTATCAAGAATACTATACTTTCAAACATGCAAATTTTGTAACGAGTGAACCTGTCTAGCTAAGGTATCAACTACAAAATTTGCTTCCCAAAAGATGTGAAACCACTTTATCAAAATTAGTAAAGTAGTGTGTCTCAGTTAGTAACCGTGTTTCAAAAATAAAAGTTTTCTATTTTCTAAATGAAAATCGCAACCTCAGCTAATACTTAGACTGGTCCAGACGGGCGCCTAGGCCTTGCCTACCTAAACCAGCTGGGAATTACTCAAGCCAGTTGACAGCTACCTAACCCCCAAGTGGTGTCTAACCGACGCTAAACGGAGAATTTTAGAACGGGAATGGAGGAGAGAGAAACGACATCCGAGTGGGAGATTGGAAGCTGTCATGCCCTTGCTTGAACTTGGCCCAACCGGATTTGGGACCTTGATTCTCTAGAAATGGGCCTTAATGTGTGAACTTGAAAATTAATATTTTGTCATAGAATGGCTTACAACTGTTTCATCATGACATTTCTCTTGTTTTTATTTTTTATTTTTTATCTTTTTTACAAAAAGGGATGCTTTCGTCAAGGCAGTCAATTCTTTCGGAAGTTCAAATTTTAATTTTTATTAATGTGCTTTATTTATTAATAAGCCTCGGATATAATAAAAATCTAGCAGCAAATTACGATCTTGATTGAGTGAGCAAACTGAGCATTGGTAATTGTCGAATTACAGTACAAAAAATTAGAATTATAGTAAATAGTATAGATATTTAATTGGACTTTGAGTTTTCTTTGGCAAACCTATACTTCCAGCTGTATGATGTTCATTTTATTTTATTTATATTTTTGTTGTTTTGCAGCTGTATGGCCTGTAAACCAGAGAAGGGTTGACTTAAGTGGAAATACAAAAATATTTGTTTGTATTTGAGTAGAAAAAATGATTCAATTTCGGAGGAATCTAGCTTGAAATTATCAAAGAATTGGTTAACCATCTTACTCATCTGTACGAATGTGTTAGAATGGAATTCTTAACTCCAAATCCTATTTCGTAGTTATCGTTTTGCATATCAAAGTAATTATTAATTATAATTAGTACATGATTAGTTCGACAATAGGGATTGCTCTAATAATTTGATTCAAACTCGTAATAACAATCATCGAACATGAAATCTCTCATTTATAAGTGGAGATAAATATGACTAGACAATATTATTTTACAATCATTTCATTAAAAAAATAGTTTAGATATAGATGGTAGTTTAGAGAAATAAATGGCAGTCTACTAAAGCTGTATTCTAGTTAAGGGTCGTTTAACAATCATTTCTTTGTAAAATTTTGTCCCACACTTTTTGGAAACTAAACAAATTTTCATTTTCCAGTTTTCTGAAAAAATGAAAACTGAAATGATTATCAAACGGTGATTTCAGAAACGTCAGCCCACACTAATTATCCAACAACTATGCTTGCCCAAAAACTATGGAAATCTTCTAAGCCCAACAAGGTCTGCACAATCCAAAACTGCACAAAAACTTCAGCCGCCCCTTTTGGGACGGGAATGAGTCGGATTGGGTGATGACAATACCATATATGCCACGGCGATTATAGGAGAGCTTCATTGGATTTGTGAGCACCATAAGTTATAGCGAAATGTTTTTTTCCTTGTTAGAGTAATGAAAATAATATTCTAATTACAGACAGAGAAATTGCTTTCTGAGTTTCATTACTTAATGAAGAAGTAATTACAAATGAGTATATTTACGCTTTGCTAAGTAAGCGTAGTGACTAATCACACTTGATTAACTAAGTAACGCAAGGATTAGTTACATAACAGTTGTAACCAATTTACAGCTATCCACACTAACTAAAATATCTAAGTATGAGGTGTCTCTTTACACCCCCTCAAGCTACAGTTGTAACCAATTTACAGTTGTAACCAATTTACTTTATTATATAACATAAATTACATAAAATATTATTAATTATATAACATATAATATATAAAAATTGATAGATTTTCCTTCATATTTTGGTCAATTATAGCATGAGATAAAAGCTCAAGTGATACGAGCTTGTAATACTTTATGAAATGTTGCTTGAAACTCGTATGAATTTATAGTGAATTTGAAGAGGAATAATTGGGTCAAACATGCAGCCTAAAACACATTGGCAAAGGTGGACACATAGAAATGCACAACTTAATCTATATACTATTATTAAGAGAACCCTCATTGTCAACTTTTTTCCCTTTTTTCTATGTTGCCCTCACTTTTGATACACATTATTGACAAAAGGAGGGTAAAATAGTAATTTTGCACATTTTCACAAAATGACAATCATATCCTTATTTTTCCTATTTTACCCTCTTTTTTTTTTTTTTTTGAGAAAATAACAATCATATACTTATTTTTCTAATTTTACTCTCACTTTTGATACACAATATTTACATAAAGAGGACAAAACGATAATTATGTAATATTAAAAAAAATATATGCACTTATTAAGAGAAATTAATCACATACACACAAATTGTGTGCCCTCCGCTAGTTGCAAATAACTAAAAGAACAAATTGGGTAACTTGATTAGACAACAATTGAAAAACAAAAACAAAATGGTCAAAGTTAAGAGGTCGCGTGTGGAAGTGGGAGAGAGTTCTTCCTGATCTCTTCTTAGTTGGAACTAAAGCTACAAAAGTTGCAGATTTAGTATTCTTTGGTTTTCGAAATTAAAATAAAACTTTGATTTCGGATTATAAAATACTCGGACTGATAAATGAGATGTTTTAGGTTCAATTATTGCAAGAGACGAATTTGAATCACATTATTGCTACAACCGTTGTGAGGCTTAACCCACTTCTCCACCTCCCTTGATGTAGATAATATCAATTGTTCACAAAAAAAAAGTGCATTATTCGTTTAATACATAATTTTCATATAGTGTCTTTACTTACAAGTGAGTTTATCTCCTAATAATGATCTCTAGTTTTGCTCCATCACTATTTTTTTTTTTTGTTTTTTTTTTTTTTATGAGAAAGTAATTCATTCGATGAGAGAAACTCCTTGTACAGCTGGTTCCAATACAATCAAACATGAAAGCATTATACGCCTTATCAGTAATACTATACTTTCAAACATGCAAATTTTGTAACGAGTGACCTTGTCTAGCTAAGGTATTAGCTACAAAATTTGTTTCCCAAAAGATGTAAAACCACATTATTAAAATTAGTAAAGTAGCGTGTCTCAGTTAGCAACCGCGTTTCAAAAATAAAAGTTTTTTATTTTCTAAATAAAAATCGCAACCTCGATTAATGCTTAGACTGGTCCAGAAGGGCGCCTAGGCCCTACCTACCTAAACCAGTTGGGAATTACTCAAGGCGGTCGATAACTACCTAGCCCCCAAGCGGTGTCTAGCCGACGCTAAACGAAGAGTTTTAGAACGGGGAATGGAGGAGAGGGAAACGACATCCAAGAGAGAGATTGGAAGCTGTTATGCCCTTGCTTGAACTTGGCCCAACCGGATTTGGGACCTTGATTCTCTGGAAATGGGCCTTAATGTGTGAACTTGAAAATTAATATTTTGTCATGGAATGGCTTACAACTGTTTCATCATGACATTTCTCTTGTTTTTATTTTTTATCTTTTTTTATAAAAAGGGACGCTTTCGTCAAGCAGTTAATTCTTTCGGAAGTCCAAAATTTAATTTTTATTAATGTCCGTTATTTATTAATAAGCCTCGGATATAATAAAAATCTAGCAGCAAATTACGATCTTGATTGAGTGAGCAAACTGAGCATTGGTAATTGTCGAATTACAGTACAAAAAATTAAAATTATAGTAAATAGTATAGATATTTAATTGGACTTTGAGTTTTCTTTGGCAAACCTATACTTCCAGCTGTATGATGTTCATTTTATTTTATTTATATTTTTGTTGTTTTGCAGCTGTATGGCCTGTAAACCAGAGAAGGGTTGACTTAAGTGGAAATATAAAAATATTTGTTTGTATTTGAGTAGAAAAAATGATTCAATTTCGGAGGAATCTAGCTTGAAATTATCAAAGAATTGGTTAACCATCTTACTCATCTGTACGAATGTGTTATAATGGAATTCTTAACTCCGAATCCTATTTCGTAGTTATCGTTTTGCATATCAAAGTAATTATTAATTATAATTAGTACATGATTAGTTCGACAATAGGGATTGCTCTAATAATTTGATTCAAACTCGTAATAACAATCATCGAACATGAAATCTCTCATTTATAAGTGGAGATAAATATGACTAGACAATATTATTTTACAATCATTTCATTGAAAAAATAGTTTAGATATAGATGGTAGTTTAGAGAAATAAATGGCAGTCTACTAAAGCTGCATTCTAGTTAAGAGTCGTTTAACAATCATTTCTTTGTAAAATTTTGTCCCACACTTTTTGGAAACTAAACAAATTTTCATTTTCCAGTTTTCTGAAAAAATGAAAACTAAAATGATTATCAAACGGTGATTTAAGAAACGTCAGGCCACACTAATTATCCAACAACTATGCTTGCCCAAAAACTATGGAAATCTTCTAAGCCCAACAAGGTCTGCACTAGGGGTGGGTTCGGTTCAAAACGGTTCGGTTTTTTGCCAAAACCGAAACCAAACCGAAATTTCGGTTCGGTTCGGTTCGGTTCGGTTCATTTTTTTTTTGGTTTTTTTCGGTTCGGTTTTGGTTTTTTTGCGGTTTTTTATTTTTATTTTTAAATGATGTAAATGGAAGGAACCTACCTATCAACCTCCCAGTTCTCATATATCAGAGAATTGAGAGCCTCAAAATCCTGAATATATTCAAGTAATTCAACTACTTGTGATCAAGTAGAACGAATTCAAATTTTCAAAAGTTAAGCAAATACATAAACATATATTCTTCAAGGAAATGTACATCACCAGGATTCAAAATTCAAAAACTTTAAAATTTACAAAATCATGAAATAACTCAACAAATTAACTGATCGATGCAAATCGAAACAAAAAAAAAAGCAATTGGGTTCTTCTAAATACCATAATCGGACTTCAATAGCGCATGCCCAGTGCCCACATTCAAATTCATAGTCAAGTCCACAATAGATCTAGAAAATTCCAAAACATATTTAGAGAAAAATACAAACTTTTTCACCTTAAATTACATAAATTTCAAATGGCTAACCATACAATTAAAAACCTATGAACTGACAAATAAATAAAACCATAACCTTTGTTGCAGCGATATAGCCATGATCGTCGCAAGCTCTTTCAATTCCTCTTTTTGTCAGATCTCGAAAAGGGCGAGCGAAAATCATGGTTTGGAAGAAGAAATCCGCAAGGAGGACAGGAGAAGACTGGAGAGAGAGAGTGATTTGGAGGAACAGAGGAAGGAGAGGGAGAGGGAGGGAGAGAGAGAGAGAGAGAGAGAGAGAGAAAGAGAGGAAGCAAAGGCAAAGAGGAAGCAGCGGACGGAACAGAGAGGCGTTTGAGATCTGAAATGAAATGGGAGTGAGACAGCTATGGTTTGTAAAGTTAAGAAATTTTATAAAGCATTAAACATAAGAAACCTATAAATAAATTACTGGTACAATTATAACAACAGAAAGCCTACAGTCAAGTTGGCTTGCAACAACCAACCCCAACCCGTAAGGAAAGGGTTCAAACCCTGAAAACAACATGTATTTTTAGTATTTATATATGATTTTTTTTTCGGTTCGGTTCAATTCGGTTCGGTTTCCAAACCTCAAAAACCGAAACCGAACCAACCAAATTCGGTTCGGTTCGGTTTGGTAGTTTCGGTTCGGTTTTTTTCGACCTCGGTTTGGTTTTCGGTTTTTTTCTGTTTTCGGTTTTTTGAACCCACCCCTAGTCTGCACAATCCAAAACTGCACAAAAACTTCAGCCGCCCCTTTTGGGATGGGAATGAGTCGGATCGGGTGATGACAATAGCATATATGCCACGGCGATTATAGGAGAGCTTCACTGGATTTGTGAGGCACCATAAGTTATAGCGAAATGTTTTTTTCCTTGTTAGAGTAATGAAAATAATATTCTAATTACAGACAGAGAAATTGCTTTCTGAGTTTCATTACTTAATGAGAAGTAATTACAAATGAGTATATTTACGCTTTGCTAAGTAAGCGTAGTGACTAATCACACTTGATTAACTAAGTAACGCAAGGATTAGTTACATAACAGTTGTAACCAATTTACAGCTGTCCACACTAACTAAAATATCTAAGTATAAGGTGTCTCTTTACACCCCCCTCAAGCTAATCAGAGGGGAACTCAGAGAAAGCTTGGACTGTAGAAACTTGAATCTGGCCTTGGATATTGACTTAGTATGAATATTAGCAATTTTATGTTGAGTACTGACATACTGAACTCTAACCAAATTTGCCAAAACTAGTTCTCTTATATAGTGGTAATCTATTTCCACGTGTTTTGTGTGAGCATGACATACTGGATTACATGCTAAAGAGAAGGCAGAGACATTGTTACACCAAAGTTTAGGAACATTAGAGGGGCTATATCTTTGAAGATTTTGCAGATCCATGTTAATTCTGCAACAATATAGGCTAGTGAACAGAGAAGAGAATTCTTTTTTGTTTTTGTTTTTCTACTTTGGTCCTTAGATGTCACTTTACAAGAAGGTAAAATTGGTATTAAAAACTATTAAAAAGTGAGTAGGTAGAAGAGAGCGGGGACAATTTATCATCACTCTAGGGACATTTTTCTTTGCGTCCAATCACTTTGGGATAGTGGCAAAGCTAAGAATTGTTGAGGAAAGATGCGAAATTTGAAAGGGCAAAAGGTCCTAGAAAATATTGACAACTGTTCGAGGTCTAAGTCCATGGTCTGGAAGAGGATTAGACAATACTTCATTCAACTTGGTGACCTCACTTTATATAGAACTATCCATAATATTTGAATGAGGATTTGTACTAACCAGAATATTTGAATGAGGATTTAGACTACCCGAAATATTCGAAGGAGAATTTGGACTAACCAGAATATTTGAAGGAGAATTTAAGCACCGTTCATATAATGTAATTCCATTATATAATTGTCTAATGAATAGGGCTCTACAAGACGTTATGCGCTAGTCGAGTAACGTGATATGTCCTAATGCCTAGCGCCTAAGTAGACTTAGCGAATTTAACTAATTTATTATATATCGTATAAATAAGTGATATTTATTATATAACATAAATTACATAAAATATTATTAATTATATAACATATAATATATAAAAATTGATAGATTTTCCTTCATATTTTGGTCAATTATAGCATGAGATAAAAGCTCAAGTGATTATGAGCTTGTAATACTTTACGAAATGTTACTTGAAACTCGTATGAATTTATAGTGAATTTGAAGAGGAATAATTGTGTAGTATCCCACATCGCCCGTGAGGGCGTGGTCTTTGGGCCTTATATATCCATTGCCAACCTTAAGTTTCAGTGAGGCCTTTTGCGGACTCCCTGAGGGGAGGGCAGGCGCTGGCTACGGCTGAGTACCGGTCCGCAGGAACAAAACCGTGCGGTAGCTCTGTCTGCGGGCAGAGAATGCCAAAGCGGACAATATCACTGGAGCTGAGGGTTGGGATGTGACAAATTGGGTCAAACATGCAGCCTAAAACACATTGGCAAAGGTGGACACATAGAAACGCACAACTTAATCTATATATTATTATTAAGAGAACCCTCATTGTCAACTTTTTTCCCTTTTTTCTATGTTACCCTCACTTTTGATACACACTATTGACAAAAGGAGGGTAAAATAGTAATTTTGCACATTTTCACAAAATGACAATCATATCCTTAATTTTCCTATTTTACCCTTTTTTTTTGTTTTTTTTGAGAAAATGACAATCATATACTTATTTTTCTAATTTTACCCTCACTTTTGATACACAATATTTACATAAAGAGGACAAAACGATAATTATGTAATATTAAAAAAAATATATGCACTTATTAAGAGAAATTATTCACATACATACAAATTGTGTGCCCTCCGCTAGTTGCAAATAACTAAATGAACAAATTGGGTAACTTGATTAGACAACAATTGAAAAACAAAAACAAAATGGTCAAAGTTAAGAGGTCGCGTGTGGAAGTGGGAGAGAGTTCTTCTTCCTGATCTCTTCTTAGTTGGAACTAAAGCTACAAAAGTTGCAGATTTAGTATTCTTTGGTTTTCGAAATTAAAATAAAACTTTGATTCCGGATTATAAAATACTCGGACTGATAAATGAGATGTTTTAGGTTCAATTATTGCCGGAAACGAATTTGAATCACATTATTGCTACAACCGTTGTGAGGCTTAACCCACTTGTCCACCGTCCCTTGGTGTAGATAATATCAATTGTTCACAAAAAAAAAAGTGCATTATTCGTTTAATACATAATTTTCACATAGTGTCTTTAGTTACAAGTGAGTTTATCTCCTAATAATGATCTCTAGTTTTGCTCCATCAGGTATTTTTTTTGTTTTTTTTTTTTTTTATTTTTTATGAGAAAGTAATTCATTCGATGAGAGAAACTCCTTGTACAGCTGGTTCCAATACAATCAAACATAAAAGCATTATACGCCTTATCAGTAATACTATACTTTCAAACATGCAAATTTTGTAACGAGTGACCCTGTCTAGCTAAGGTATTAGCTACAAAATTTGCTTCCCAAAAGATGTAAAACCACTTTATTAAAATTAGTAAAGTAGCGTGTCTCAGTTAGTAACCGCGTTTCAAAAATAAAAGTTTTTTATTTTCTAAATAAAAATCGCAACCTCGGTTAATGCTTAGACTGGTCCAGAAGGGCGCCTAGGCCCTACCTACCTAAACCAGTTGAGAATTACTCAAGGCGGTCGATAACTACCTAGCCCCCAAGCGGTGTCTAGCCGACGCTAAACGAAGAGTTTTAGAACGGGGAATGGAGGAGAGGGAAACGACATCCAAGAGAGAGATTGGAAGCTGTTATGCCCTTGCTTGAACTTGGCCCAACCGGATTTGGGACCTTGATTCTCTGGAAATGGGCCTTAATGTGTGAACTTGAAAATTAATATTTTGTCATGGAATGGCTTACAACTGTTTCATCATGACATTTCTCTTGTTTTTATTTTTTATCTTTTTTTATAAAAAGGGACGCTTTCGTCAAGCAGTCAATTCTTTCGGAAGTCCAAATTTTAATTTTTATTAATGTCCGTTATTTATTAATAAGCCTCGGATATAATAAAAATCTAGCAGCAAATTACGATCTTGATTGAGTGAGCAAACTGAGCATTGGTAATTGTCGAATTACAGTACAAAAAATTAAAATTATAGTAAATAGTATAGATATTTAATTGGACTTTGAGTTTTCTTTGGCAAACCTATACTTCCAGCTGTATGATGTTCATTTTATTTTATTTATATTTTTGTTGTTTTGCAGCTGTATGGCCTGTAAACCAGAGAAGGGTTGACTTAAGTGGAAATATAAAAATATTTGTTTGTATTTGAGTAGAAAAAATGATTCAATTTCGGAGGAATATAGCTTGAAATTATCAAGGAGTTGGTTAACCATTTTACTCATCTGTACGAATGTGTTAGAATGGAATTCTAAACTCCGAATCCTATTTCGTAGTTATCGTTTTGCATATCAAAGTAATTATTAAGTATAATTAGTACATGATTAGTTCAACAATAGGGATTGCTCTAATAATTTGATTCAAATTCGTAATAACAATTATCGAACATGAAATATCTCGTTGAAAAAATAGTTAAGATATAAATGGTAGTTTAGAGAAATAAATGACAGTCTACTAAAGCTGCATTCTACTTAAGGGTTGTTTAGCAATCATTTCTTTGTAAAATTTTGTCCCACACTTTTTGGAAACTAAACAAATTTTCATCTTCCAGTTTTCTGAAAAAATAAAAACTGAAATGATTATCAAACGGTGATTTAAGAAACGCGAGGCCACATTAATTATCCAACAACTATGCTTGCCCAAAAACTATGGAAATCTTCTAAAGCCCAACAAGATCTGCACAATCCAAAACTGCACAAAAACTTCAGCCTGCCCCTTTTGGGATGGGAATGAGTCGGATCGGGAGATGACAATACCGTATATGCCACGACGATTATAGGAGAGCTTCATTGGATTTGTGAGGCACCATAAGTTATAGCGAAATGTTTTTTCCTTGTTAGAGTAATGAAAATAATATTCTAATTACAAATAGAGAAACTGCTTTCTGTATTTCATTACTTAATGATTTATGTATTTCATTACTTAATGAAGAAGTAATTACAAATGAGCATATTTACACTTTGCTAAGTAAGCTTAGTGACTAATTACACTTGATTAACTAAGTAACACAAGGATTAGTTACATCACAGTTGTAACCAATTTACAGCTGTCTACACTAACTAAAATATCTAAGTATGAGGTGTCTCTTTACACCCCCTCAAGCTAATCAGAGGGAAACTCATAGAAAGCTTGAACTGTAGAAACTTGAATCTGGCCTTGGATATTGACTTAGTATGAATATTATCAATTTTATGTTGAGTACTGACATACTGAACTCTAACCAA